CAATCTGGCTCTGATGGCCTCAGTGATGGATGCTTTTTGTAGTTTCGTCTTTTAATTTGTGAGTGCTGAAAATGAATTTTCCGAATGCTTTTAGCTTGACCATTAAGATCTCTTGAACTAGACAATGGTCTAAGCCCAAATCTGCCTCCCTTTTCGACTTTGTCTCCAGCAGGCTGCTTCTCCACTTCCCTGAGATTGAGATGAAGTCTGTCTGGTTCTTGGTATGTCTGTCAGGCTAAGTGCATGTTGTCTTGTGTATATCTTTGCGCTTACACATAGTACCTCCAATCACCAAATCACTGAAGCCGTTAAATTCTGGGAAGTGTTCTCCGTTGTCATTCGTTTCTGCGAGAGCCTCTCGACCCATGTTGGGTTCTCTTCCTGTTTTGTCTGTTCCTAGTTCAGCTGACACATTCATGTTGCCCTAAAGGATTTTGATGTCTCCATTTGAGATGTTGTCTATTACTGTTTTCAGTTGTCTATACAGTACTTTCTTCCCTCGTTGTTTGTTGGTACATATCATTGGATTATTATTTCCTTCCTTCCTTTTGAGTTGAATCTTGCTTCCCTAATCCTGGAGGTATTGATTCCAACTGCATAGGAGCTTTGGCTGCTGTTAGTGACTTCATGACAGCTTCTCCCCCTGTGTGCTCGTGATTGTTGTCTGGGTGACCAGAGTAGATTACTATCTTGCCATTTGACAATTTGGATAATCCACATCCATTCCTAACAATTTCATGTCATATTTCTGCATTTCTTTGGCTACCTGGGCAGCCTTCCCAGCTTCGTACACTGTAAGAATATTCGACATCCCCATCCTTATTTTTGCTTTCATCGGAAGAAGACATATCAGCTAACTGGTTTCCCAAAGGCTTTCACCAGCCGCTTCATTCAGTCTCCCTGATTCCAGCAAAAAATAAGTTTTTGTTTGATATTTTTGTTGTGCATTAAAGTTTCTGTAGAGATTTGACTGATTTTCTGGGGTAGGGTCGCTAGTCTCACGCCCAGCCCTCTTTTTCCTGGTCTTGGGACTGACTAGGAAACTAGAGAGTTAGTAAATTAGGCGAGGTTTTACCTGGTGAGTGACACATTAAACACAATATCTATCTCAATATCCTGCAAATGTTTACGTCGCTTTTCTAGTTTCTTCATACTTCGAACTGAAGTTGAAAGGTGATGCGTAATTGCCTACAGGTTGTAATGAATGCCAAACTAAAGTTGTCTTCCCTAGTTCATTCGTACTGAAAACCCTAAGAGTTGACTAATTTTTTGTCTAATTATTTGATTGCGTGTACATTTACTTAGCTGATACTTTTTGCTGGTTCCATGTTATGTCTATTTGATGTATACTATTCATAAGTCCATGCGCTTAAGTCCATTGTAGCTGCCAGTTAATATTAATAATCCATTCAAACTAGTAAATAATAGATCACTACCTATCATGTAAGCCTAAACTAGGTTACCAACTAATGTTAAATTTATTATTATTTATAAAAAAAATGCAAGGACCGTTCGACAGTTAAGGAACTCAAAGGGTTTTTGCGTTACTCTGTCAAACTTGCCAAAGTGAATGCAAAATTGAACTACAATATCCGAAGTTTTCCTGGAAGGCACTCTGGAGACATCATATTCATCCCAATTCCAAAACTCTTCGACTTCACACTATAAACCTTATTGATTCTATTAGTTCGCGTATATTCAAGTTGCAGATAAATGTATCTTTTGTTGTTTGCGAATTATCATCAAGTGAAAGAGAATCGTTTGATGAATATGTTACCTTGGTGCAGAGCAAACGAGCTGAGAATGTTAAATCAGATATGAACAAGAGCCTCAAATCCGTCGAAGCACAGAAGTTCCCCATTGACCCCAATAAATTTGTTTTCAGCCACTCTTGCAACAGCTTGTCAGCATTACAATTGGAAGCCTTATCTTTAGGGTTAACATTTTGTAACGTAAATATGTGTAGTAACAGACTCCCTTCGTATGTCCAACTCGAAAATCTTATCAGTCAAACAAGCAACATTACCCCTGTCTCTGATGCAGGATTCTTACATTTCAGGGCTACAATCTTCGACTGCTGCAATCAACAACTCAGTTCACAAACTAAAGTCCGACACCTCCTCACAATGAAGCACAAGCAGCAGCTCAAAGACTTGAGATACAACAAAGACCTAATCATCACACGTCCAGACAAAGGTTCGGGAGTGGTCCATATAGATAGAGATATGTATATCAATAAATTGACAGTTTTAATCTGAGATGATAGCAAATTTTCGAAACCAAACATTGAGAAGAATAAGACAACTGGTGGAACAGCAACTGACAGATGTCCTTAGGAGAATGAAGGACGACTGCCTCTTAACTGAAGACCTATTTGAACGCCTGTAACCAACAGGATCAATTATCCCACATGTCTACGGTCTACCAAACGTGCACAAAACAGGTCTGACAATTCGACCAATTTTAAACATAGCGGGATCCCTATACCATCCGACTGCAAAATGGCTGTCTAAAATGCTAGAACCTGTGAGACAACAACTATGTAAGTACTCTCTCCAAGATACTTTTGAATTTATTGAATGCATAAAAGATTTGAATGTAAATGGCAAACTTATGTTATCACTGCACATAGAATGTCTAACTGCCAATATGCCGCTCTTTTACGAATAAACGGAGGAGAAGAATTTGAGCATCAGAATACCAACCTCTTATCTGAAGGGGTTGTTGCTGAAATTTGCGTTTAATCTACAATTTACCGTCAACGACGATATTCTACAGACAGAAAGATGGGATTGCCATGGGCTCTCACCTCGGGCCACTTTTGGCAGACTGCTTCATGGACATGTTGATAAATGGAATCTTAAGATCAACAAAAGACAAAATGCTGCTGTACAAAAGCTATGCCACCGACACTTTTACAGTTTGTCATAGCGATGCTGAGTGAAATTGTCTTACAAGTGCTACCCTTCAATTTAATTCACAATGGAAGTAGGAAATGAATCAAACACTCTATTTCTGGAAGTGGAATTTACAAGAAAAGGTGGCAGAACCCTGAAAAGATCTATAGTTGGATACGTGTCAGCTGAAACATAGCTCTCAACATATCACTGGCCCACCGTATCAGAAGAATTTGCAGCAGTGACTGCTTAGAAGAAGAGCTCTTATTTCTCAAAATGGATACGCGGTACGTTTCGTGGAGAAGAACATGAAACCAAAGCCAAAAAAGGAATACACTTCAGTACCAAAGAAAACACTGTATTTGAATCTGGACAACAGGGGAGACTTAACTGTAGATATCCTTAAAAAGAAAATTTCCAGTTTCCTAAAGAAGACCTTTCCTGCAGCAACTCCAAGAGTGGTATTCTCTAACCGCCCACTGCTTCTAAGCACTGTGAAGGACAAACTTTCGCAAATGATCACTTCGTGCGGAGCTAGGTACATTGGTTGTTCTATGCGTGTTAGAGAACGTTATCCAGTATGGTTGCGAAGAAGAGGCACTGGTTCAGTCAAGAGCTCTATAATAGAACACCTGTCACAGCATCTCATCTAACTCATCATCCAGAGTCATTTACAAAGTAAATAAAAATCTACCAAAGGCAGTGTTTCCAACTTTTTTGTACTGCAGAAGCCCTTGCCATATGCGTCGGAAAACCTGAGCTATCTGTTCGGAAGAAACTGGTTCAACCTCTACATTTGTCATGGAAGTAGCTTGGTTTGTTTCCTTTGGTCCTGTTTTTTTCACCCCCTTCATTTCCCTTTTTTCAGTTTTATTTTTATTATTCTTTCAACTTGTTCCCATGTTCATCCTATTCATACCTTAAGTCGTTAAAAAAGTGTTTTCTGATCCTGTATAATTTTAATTCCAAGCCCCTTGTAATCTATATTCACACCTTCAAACTTTCATATCAAATTAAAATTATTTCTTCAGTTATCAAATATTAATTTTACATACATTGTAACTGTTTCCTAATCCTATGTAATCTAAGCCCTTATAATCTATATTCACACATTTGAACTTTCATATCAAGTTGAAAACTATTATGACCGTTTATCACATTCGTTACTACGTGGAATTCAACAAATAACAATTGTATCTATGTAAACTTATGTATATAAATGCGATTGTACAGCTTTTGAGAATGAAATCGCCAAAAAGATATGTTTACTGAACTTCTTGTTCTTTTCCCTCTAATGTCCCGATGGGTATTTTCCACGATTTAAAATTTATTACTCTCCTAAACTCTTGGACAACACTGAAGTAGCTTCGAGAAAAATTGTCTATATTTTTTATCTAACTTTGGTTTATTTAATCGCTCAACCAGTCTGTCAAGTTTTCTAACCCCATTTGAATTACGGAGTTTTGATTATCCAGGTAGTACTAGTAGAAGTATTCCCAGCTTCCTCGTCTAGTACACTAACCTGCAGAAAGCTTCGCGACTAAACCAACCAGCTCAGAGAACACTTTTAATTGCAACCTGCAGAATCGTTGGCAAGTTACGTCGCCATGCTACCAGTCTGTTTTCCTTTGATCGGCTTTTTGTACTGATTCTACATATTCTCTGTACAATACTAATTTCATGCTACTCAATAATTCTAATGAAATTTCCAACATTTACAGGAGAAATTTTATTAGTAGATCTTGTTTCACACGGAGTAAAAACCAGTTGATATCAGTCTAAAATTCATACCCGCATTCTCATGGTCTTAGAATAAGATCTATAGCAGGTTAATAGACTGATTACTAACGAAATCTCATCAAGATTACGAAAGGCTCATTTGATATTCTCAGAATCTTATCATCCTCCAACCGTGTATGACATCCAACAACCCATTAAGAAGTTAGTGTACTGTTCAATAGTTTATTACGTCGTATTTTACTTGTGGAGATGTGACTCACTGGCTTCAGCAGTCGATTTTTAGCCAATTAACCCGGGGTTCATAGTGTCCTCTACTTCAGTATGAATGGGGTAGTATTACTACCTCTTACATACTGTGTGGATCATAAACTAGCGCATGAGAAGTCTGTTTCGCATAGCTAAGCCCTACCATAGTTTTATGACCGCAAGGTACTGTAGCTGAAAGTATGGTGTATAGGACCACATACAAGTGAACCCTCATATGTTACACATACCAAACCACTATCTTTCGTGGACGATTTAATTAAAATATGTATTTAGGATAGTCAGGACAAAGCGTGGTGGCAATGCGTGTTGTTAGTGATTGTTGCTTCTGGCAGGTGTAATTTACCTGGTTGTAATCTGTGGAACGAGTCTCCTGATGACGTAGTAAATCCTTCAACAATAGTCCGAATATATCAGTTTGTTACCACTTTTGAAATTCTGTGCATTACAACTCTTCATTGATTTCTTCCCCTCCTAACCTTCATGTTTTTCCACTGTAGTATCATATCTATCCGTTTATTTATTATGTCGTTTCAAAGTGTGGCAATTTCAGTCGGCACCAATAGGAAACGTTTTTCATTAATCTGTTTGCTTTTCGATGATTAAAGGATAAGGGTTATCGGAACCAAATTTCTGTTAATTCCATTGAGTCAGACATTTCAGAAATGGAAGTGTTTTTTTCGCAGATATTTTATAAATACATCGAGTTGCCATGTTTACATAATGTATTGTTTCATTTACGTTTGATTTCTTATACTTTAGCCGTATTTTTAAAAGAATAAACTGATCGACTGCTCCAACTGTTTTGTTTTGAAAGTTATGCAAGCAGTAATAATAACTAACACAGAGTCTCCTGAATTGGGACAACTAACAGTACTTGGTTCTGCTTCTTTACTTCCTTTGGGAAATGAGACAATACTCACTAAGTTAATAGGCCTTTTTCTTGACAGCGAAATATCAGATATAATAATTGTTCATAACAAAGCTCAAACAGCGCGTTTAACAAGTTATGTAAATGCACATTATCAGTTTTGGCCTGCATTTGCAAAAGTTAGTCTTCACGAACTTCCTGATTACTGTCCGTTACCTGAAACATTGCAAAGAATTCGATCTTCTCTACAATCTGAGTACTTATTTATTACACATTCCAACACTGTTATGTGTAACATCAATTTGCGCGATATGTTTTTGACAATGATCAGAAAAAAGGCGTCAATGGTGGCTGTATTTTCATCGCTCCCTATAACAGAAAGCAAGCTTATGAAGTCTCTCCCCAGTGAACTAACCGTAACTACAAGTGATGGAAGTGTATTAATCACTTATGTACCTGCAAGTGATATAAGGAAACAGACCAAACTTTCGAAGAGCCTTACTTCCCAAGGAGCTATTCTGTGCCGTTCAGATCTGAGAGACTGTGGATTCTATTTAATTTCCAGGTCAACGTTGGATCATATTACTAAGGTAAATTATACCTGTCATTTCCCTATTATAGTGACAAGTTGGGCGAAGATATAACCCATCGTAAAAAATCCATTTGGCAGCATATCTGGATTGAACCTCCAGAAATAAATCAAGGTAAATTGCATTTTAATATCACGTTAAATGTTTCTGTTCAGAAACTGAACTAGGTTCTGGTGACAAAACCACGATCAACGGTGTTAATAATTATACAGAATGTTACAAGATAGGTGGAACGTGTATTCACGAACATAATGATGAAGTTATTGCAGTCAAGATTGAAGATCCTTTGATATATGTTGAAACAAATCGCTTGGTAAATTTGAAAATTGTTTTTATTTTTGGTAATTATATTTTAAAATATGTAACTACTTGTTATGAGCAGATGGATGCTATTAAGATCAGCCAACAACAATTTTTGTCAGTAAGGGCATTTGATTTTTACAGTAAAGCTGTATATGATGCTTGCAGGTTGAAAGATCATCTGTTGTTGCTCTACAAACTTGTAGGGCTTAAACACAAGTAAACCACAGTGACATTGAAATAAATAATTCTAGCGCTTCATTCTGCAAAATGGCGCTCAATATTTGTGGAACTACTAGGTGAAATCTTGATCAAAGTTAATATAAATTATTTTGTAATCGTAAGGGTTTAACTTCCTACGTTTTGTAATATGTATTACCTCTAGATAAGGTTCACGTAGTCATTTTGGCAAGCTGTGTAGTGCAACAGATTAACAGGCAGTGTTATATCCAAATTTTTATCCTAAAGTTCATCCTAGGCATGCTTTTTAGTCTAAGTAACTACGGTTGAACATGCGTAAAGCTACATAGTTGAGGAGTCTGTTACTAATGGCGAGTTACCATACAATTAGGAGTACAATACTGGCTTTATCAAAGTAGTCGGAATAGGAAATGAGGGGCTCCATCCTGGTCTGGTGGGAGCTGTCTGCTAGCCAAAATTGGTAGACAGCAATTCACGTCATTGTTTATGTCTTAAATCTTGGTCATTAGAAAAACAAGAACAAAGACTTTGCTTGGGTGAATACGATTCACAGATATGTGGTCTGACCATCAAAGAAACAACCACAAAGAGATTACAGATTAACTTTCTGTGAGAAAACAACCAATCAGAAGACGCTGTTTCTCTGTTAATAATTACGAATAATAATGTATATAAAAATATATAAACATCTGTTGATTTTCTCAATAAACGATGTGTCGCCTGGCCCTTATCTTCTGGAAGTCACTAATAATTCATAATGCGAAAAAACATGCGGTTTCGGAAAATATTATGAAGAAGTTAATACAAGTGAACGACTGAATATATATAAAATAAACCTTCGCCTGCCTTGAATATTATATTGCTTTTGATTTATTTCTACCATTTCTTCTTGTATCTTTCCTTTTTGATATTTTTCCTTTCTCTGCTGTTTCAAATCTCAGCAACGCAGTATGATAAGGTGGCAGGTAAACCTTATTTAGAAAGTTACGAATTTTCAGCGACTTTCATGTCTGTTGATTGAATGGACATACATGTTCCCTTTGGACAGTATAGACAATAGGCTTACGATTTATCGAAACTCCTGAAAACCTGTACATTTGTTAACACAACGAAGAAAGAACTAATCGTCTGAGGAAAAAATCATGTAACTCAAGAACTTAAGTGTATGAGTATCAAATATTTATGTCAATTAATGTATGCAAGTGCTTCCCTCTTCGTCTCACTATATTACTACCACCTGTCTGTAATATGGTAAAACTAACTTGCAAAATATTTTGAATGTTTAGGCATCATAATAATCTCTTCTATAAATTGATAAAGATTCAATACAACGTGAACTTACACTTTACACAGATTATTCAGAAATCGTCCAGTCCAGGAAACCAACAGCAAGGCAAAAAAGGAGAATCAGGAAAGGAGCAGAATCTAATACAGGACAATTGTATGATTCATGAAAAGGCATTTATTCGTGCGACTTTTGTTGGCTCTTCATGCAAGATCGGTGCCAATGTACGAATTTTAAACTCAGTCCTACTTCCTAATGTAGAGATCAAAGATAAGTAAGTAATTGCTTTACCGTTTGCTTCGCTTTCTCTATCACGTTTTACATGCTTTTTCATATGTTCAAACGCAAAACCTGAGTTGTTTACTTTATCTTGTTAAAGTATCCACTTAATAAAGTTTATTTCACTCTCTGATTGGTTTTAAAAGTGTCTGTAATTGTAAAGCAGCTACCTTCTGAGATTCGAACCCGCGTCACCCAGTGCGGGTGGGTGTGTTTTCGAATCTCAGAAGGGACGTGAGTTCCTTCAAGGTTGCAGATACGCCTTGCTGAATGATGAGTGCCAACTAGCACGAAACCTAGGTCCAAGGCTTCCTGCCGATTGCCTCCAACCATCTAATATCATCACAAACAATGTACACCGTGATGGCGAGCTACCTAGAATGGTTGCCACATTACAAAACCTGACTGATAAAATTCAGTCTGCACCAAACATACGTCACACTAGTTACTAGTGTTCAATCAAAATGCACATAACAATAACTAGATGCGTGTTTATGCATTTAGCAGTGAGCCACTCATCTCTCATAAGCTCTCTCGATACAATCCAACTTCCCTGACCTCGGTAAATGGAGGTGTCTATAAAGATTTAACTAGATAGCTAATTGTAAAAAAGTGGGCAACTACTTAGAATGAAGTAATTTGGCGGATGGTGACTTTTCCGAGAAATGATTTCTTTATCCAGTTATTTTCTATTTTTACTTATATCAATCATAGCAATATTAGCTAACGCATCAGAATAAATGGTTCTGTACTCAGTACGTAGTTAGTCTGAATTATTAAACCTGACATCTTTTTTTGAATTCCTAAATGCTTTATTTTCTCAGTCTCAATTTTGACAAGTAATATTTTACCTTTTTCAGTTGTACCGTTCAAGGATGTGTCATTGGAGAAAAAGCTGTTATTGGAGACCAATGCGTCCTAAAAAGTTGTGCTGTTGCCGCATTACAACGTGTACCGACTGGCACTAATCTAGAATCAAAGCAGTTAGGATTTACAGACCCAGAATTAAATACCACATAAATCTTTTCCATTGTCTAATTGTTATTTTTTTGTTATACACAAAATAAATCAATATGACAAAATTTTCAGCTTATCACGGATGCTTCAAGTAATATCTAAGATTCTAAGTCTAGTAATCAAGGGGAAACTAAGTGGAGTTCGTGAAAGAGTCTGATAAACTTACGAAGGTTTCAGACGTGGTAAAGTTGCCTTAATGAAATCTTCAACTTTTGTCAGGTTCTGAAATATAGAAACACTTGTCGCCGCATAAAACTTATCATGTTTCTTCAGCTGAAGGCGGCATTTAACTATGTCAGGTGACGGATGCTATGGAAACAAATGACTTTGAAGTGAGCGAGGTAAAAGTCTGTTGTACTAATCGAAGTGTTCTAGTTAAGCCCATGAGAGCTTATGGAATTTTGCCGTCAATACCAAGGGGTTTATTTAACATTTATCAACTTGCTGCATATTTAGTGCGGACACGATATCCATCCGTCCATCAAAGGACGTATGAACTATGCAACTGTTCTTTCTGTCCTACTCCACACCTTGGAGACATGATCTTTAAAGCTGGAAAAAATAAAAATATAGGCGGTTTTCCATCATGTATAGAGGTTGAAACTACATCAAATGTCAAGTACCTTGGACTGAGTATTTCCTCCGATCTTTCCTGGTCCTCTCACATCTTGCTAGTGACTAGAAAGATGTTTCGCTTAACGTTCTACCTTAGGAAGTTTAGGCAGTCTGGTATAAAGCAGTCTTTGCTTTCTCAGTTTGTCAATTCCTGTATTCTACCCATCCCTCTTTACTGCTCCCCATTAATCTTTCCTGGACTACTAAAGAAAGACTTTGCTTCGCTGCATAGGGCACTAAAAGCTGTTAGTAGGGCAAATGGGATTTCGTTAAACCACAATTGTGGATAGACATATGATGTCATGTAAGAAACTAGCAAATTCTATATTGTCAGACCCCGAACACCCTCTCCATACGCAGCTCTCTCCTTGCATTTCATCTGGTAGAACTAGAAGCAACTATAGGAAGCTATATGCCAGGACTACCAAGTATAAAAACTCCACAATACCTTATCTGGCACAGCTGTTATGTGATGAGAAAACTGTTAGGCATGACATGATCAATTTGCTGCGGCACTCTAACAAATAGTTCCCATTAACTTTTGTTCTCCTTTCTTTGTTACTATTATATTGTTGCTCATATATTCTATTACAGACTAATTTTATATATCATATCCTGTGGTGCATTGTTTAAATATGTGAATGCAATGCTTTTCTTCTTTATTTCTTTTATTTCTCTTTTTCTCTTTGTTGTTGTTGCTTTATATTTCTAAATCCTTATAAAATTTATGAGGTAATTAGATGCAATATTGTAATGAACGCTGAAAATTCCATACCTGTACCACAAATACTGTTTGGAATAAAGCCATTATTATTATTATTATTATTATTCTGTTCAATCTCTCGTTTCAGGTCTAGCAATTAAGTTAGTTGGGCGCAAAATGTTAGGTAGAGAGGGAAAGTCAATTGATGAGTGTGTTAGGTGGGGCTATAGCTACACGCAGCTAGCCATTTCTTTCCAGCCGAAATACATTGAAGTTTGGGACCGGTTACAGGTGGCTTAATCTACGTGCGTGGGGTGTGTGTAGACTGCGTGAATTGTGTCTTCAGGATGCCAAGAACCAATAGTTGGGACTGTTGGTGACATGGTTCAATAATTCCTGAGAGGTGTAAATGTATCATTGCTTCTTATCGTGCAGTTTCACTGTTCTTCATCTAGTTTTCCTGTCCCCTTACATTTTTATCCTACATTTGTGTGCTTCCCAAATTATGGGATTTAGATATATGTATTTTCTTGTTCTGTTCCATATTGAAAAGACATTCATTCATATACATATGTGTTGAAATTTGAACCAACTTTCCGTTAATTGTAGGTTTCAACTGGTTAGTTTTCCGTTATCAGATCAGATATCATCACCGAATCGTATTATTAGTTTTGTGTAGTTTTCGGGTTTTAAATTTACTATATATGCCTTGATGTCATGGGATCTGTCAACTAACTGGGTGTTCGTTTCCAAAGGCAGATATTTGAACGTGAAGTAACTGAAGTTGGGATCGTTCTAAACTTGGTGATAGAACTCATTTCACAGTCATTTGATTACAGTCAATATATCAGTCAAATTTGTTTTCAATACAAGTTTCATACTTACAGCAAAGTTGGTTGTTTCTTTAGCTGTTGGTGAGAAATTATTAGACAATCTTGGATCAGTGTAACAGGTGGTGATTGATTGAAGGTAGTGAAGCAGAAATTTGAGCCGCTGCTGGATTCAAAATTGTTAACTAGCCCGAAGCCGTCTGCGATTTCTGTGTATGAAGCTAGGTATGGAATGGGTTGATCGACACATCTTCTGTACCTAGGTTAAGCACACATCATCCGTTAAAAACGATATTCTGTCTGAGATTCCAACCTGCGTCACACGTTGGTGTAGTCAGCGATTTAATCACTTAGTTATTCCAAGTTATGTGTATACTGAACTGAATTGGTATGAATAAGCTGGGAATAGATATTTCTTACATGGAATGTGCCTGGACGTTTTATATTACAGGCTACTCCAGATATGAGACCACTTATTTAAATTGTCACACCTCAGTGTAGCACAGATATGGCCACCTGGAGCAGATAGGCGTCTAAAGGAATCACACGAAAATATTTCGAATGAAAGTAGGTGCCATTACGACTGATCCGGCGCTACACTACTCGTTTAATGACTGACTCCTTACACCATGAAAACGTCTACCAAAAAAAAAACTTTTATAGTTTAGTCTACTACATTGTGCAATGTTATCAGTGATTCTGGTTCCCTAAACAGATCTGTCTTGTCTACACAAAGTTGTTATTGAAATACTTTGAAATATTAAAGTTCAATGATACTGGGTAATTTAAGTAACTCATACAAGTCAGACAAACATGGGATGTAGATAAACTGCACAGTTGTCCAAGATGCCTCAGTCCGAATTCGCACGTTAAGTATAAAGAATAAAACCTGACTGAGAAATCAGAATCATACATTTAAAGGTTGAAGAAATAAAGCCAGTAGTGAAAAGTGTTGTCACACTTAAAGTAGAGATAAGGTATTAGCGTCATTACAACGTATTCCGAACCATAACACATCGTATCTTCAATCCTTCATTTATCTACATTAATTTATACTGTCGAGATTAATAGGGGAATAGGAAACCCTTCTCTTTTATCCAAGTTAAATCCAATTCAGTTAATATAGTCTATCTGCTAGTGAAAGTTTCCAATTTGCACTCAACTCCGAGTTTGATATGTCCAATTTTTGCTGCTGTACAGTATTTGTCTGTAATAGTTGACTGACTTCTAGAAAGTTTGAAATTTCACCAGAAATTGAGTCTCGTCTGATTACTGGATTAAGAGAAATGTAAATACATTATCGATACGTCTATTCGCTGTTTTTTATTCTAATTATTTTATCTGGTAATCTGAAGCCAACATTAAACAACGAGCTCAAAATCCACGTAATTACCATCACTTTGACATAAAAAAATAAACAGGTCAAATATTTGGTTTAAAAAAATACCATTAATTCAAAATATTCTTATGTGAACTTAAGCTTAATTTCTCTTTGTTTTTGTTTACACTTTTTGATCATTATGAGTTCTTCAAGTTGCTACCTTGATCTGCTAACCCCCACAATAGATAGGTAGCTCCGTGTTTCTTGTGAGTACTCACTTGACTGAATACAGTTTTATTCTGCTTCTCATTAGTTTCAGGCATTTTTGTAAACAATAAGAAGGGTTCAAATCTTATAGAACCTGTGAGATGCATTTTCGACGCTTTTATTATCGGACTTTCCTCTCCAGACTTCTCTAGTAAAGGTGAATTGCAACTGGAAATAGGCATAACATCTCCTTCAGGTTTTGCTGTTATATTTTCTAGCATTGGTTGTCCTGTATAAATACTATTGTGACTTCTACGTAAGAGAACTGCCTTCACGAGTACAGTAGGTTCAAAATCTTCACTTTGTGATAAAAATGATTGTACTACTGTTTTTGTTTCGTAGATGTCATTATCCCTGATATAACGGATGTTGATAATGTTAGACACTTCAAAATAGTAATTCTGTTGAACGAGACCTAGTGCATTAATCACACATGGAACACTAGTATATACTGTATCGTAGTTCATGTCATGCAGTATTGAATACAGTTTTGTGAATACGACACCAATTTTTAATTGCTTCATCTCTGTCGTCACATTTCGTTCCAATGGTGATTTTCTGGACATTATTGAATATTCTGGTTGTTTCAGTTCAACAAGTTTTTCACTGGTTGGTTGATTGCCTGATGCTGGAACACTTGATGCGCAAAAATTCAAATAGTTTGCCTTGATGTATTCCGTCAAAGCTCTGTCTATAGGATATGGAAATTCATTAGTAGTGTAACATGCAGATGGTGTATCATCTTTATATGAATTCTTCTGTTCTGATGACACACTATTCCTAGTCAACCTGTTTACTTCACTGGTTTTATTATTCTCGAAAATATCTGAGTTCGCTGGACATTGACAGTCAAATGAAGGGTAAGCTTTCGATACTGTTTGAATCACACTTTTTTTAACACTTCTTGTTTTTGTACCCACTGATTCATAAATCAACGGATCAAAGTTTTCTACACTCTCCTTAGTAAAACTGATTTTGTTAGTGTATTCTCCAGACTGCTCCTCCAGTGTATCTTTCTTATCCTCCTTCATGCTTTCTTCAGAAGTTAGAAAACAACACTTATCAGCTGAAAAATCAACGTTGTTGTTTTCACAGCATGTGTCCCAAGAGTTCTCCTGTTGATATATCCTGTGTATATTCCCTTCAATAAGGTTGCGTAGTATGCTGGTAGGGGCTACTTGCTTACTTGAAATAATCTTACTCTGTGGTGGTACGTTAGTGCTATAATTTTGTTGACTGAAAATTATTGGACAGTTCGGCGAGGTTGAAGGACGCAGCTCATCTGGTAAAGTTTTATTCAGCAGTGCTTCTAACTGATTCAGATGTTCAGTAACGGTTCTATGCATATAAACTTCATTATTAGAATGTAGTTGTTGCGGCGAAAAACGGTGCTCCATTATTGTACGCAATCTTAAATACCATGCATATATTTCTAACATGTCATTGTACCTAATATAACATTGGCAGGTACAAGTGTCACTTCTTCCATTAGTCATACGCTCATTACTTTTTGTCCGATTGATCAAGTGCCATGAAACCGGCAAATGTGAGGATGAATTATCGCTATTATTATTTTCTGTCATTATATTTCTACCGTCAGCCAGATAAGAGCATTTTTGAGTGTTATTTGTAGAAAATCCTGACAGTTCTGGTCCGTGTGACTTACCTGATGAACTGAGAGGAGCATTCAACTTTACCTTTAGATGTTTGTGACTTTTCAATTCGCTCGGACGTGAATTTATTCTAACACTTGAATTCCATGGAATCTTTCCGCTTAGATTTTGTTTGATTTTGTCTGGTTTCCTATTTTGGCTTACTTTATATTCTGATGTTAACTGCTTCATACTCTGTTGACCATTATTATACTTATTTGACATATTCCCCGCAAAATTCTAGTATCTCTTACATTTGTTGCGTGAGTTTACAATCTATCGACTAGTATTTCGTTATAAATCAATAAAAATCAACTGATTCATATGACTTACGGGAAAAGCAAGCTTTACAAATAATGTTAATGTTTATATTCTGTGGTTTTTAGTAGTAAAATGGAAATTTCCAGTCTTTGAAGAATGTTTTTAAGCAGTATATGTGAAGAATGTCATCTCCGTAATTTACCAAAATAAAAGTAAACTCATGATGTAATCATATAATATATCGGTGCCAGAGACGATGAAAGTTGGTAAATCCATTCATAGACATTTGTATACGCGGCAACAGTTTCATTTGAGGTTACTCAAAGTTCTTAAATCAGTGAAGTTTTTCGCTCGTTCAAAAGCCAGAATATCTGTACACTTTCATACAGTTCATTCATCCAATCTAATTAAGTTAGAAAAGCTAAATGATGATAAGACCTATACTAAAATGTTAGTCCAGGAATATACTGTGAAATGTGTGTTTACATATGTTGTCATAATGAGGGATATGAACTCAACATATAAACCTATGTTAGCTTTAGATGTCATGTCACTGTTTACCAATGTCCAGTTTATAGAAAAAGTCTACTGTATATATGAACAATTTATTGAAGGAAAGATAAATATTTGGATTGCAGCAATGAAGTTGAAAAAGCTACTGCTACAATGTGCGATGAACATTTACGTTATGTGTAAACAAAGGGTTTTATCGACAACTATGTGCGTTCACGATCGATTCCCGTCTTAGTTCCCTATTATAGAAATGGGAAAGTGATCTTCTTAGCCTTAGAGAGACACTGAATAAGCTTGGATATATCTAAACGATACGTTTATCGTTTGTGGTAAGAACTTCTATAAACAGGATCTAATCCAAAACTGTAATATTCATCGAGCCATTAAATTTATCTGCAAAGAAGAATAGCAAAGTTGCATTTAGTCTCTGAATGTTTCTGCCAAGAGGACAGATGAAAATATCTTTAGGCATACTGTGTGGGATAACTTCATACTTATATCGTACAAACGCAGTTTTATTCACTGTCCTCATCGTGAAGAAGGACTCATATGATGAAGAAACAGTAGACCTGAAGAGTATAGCGCGTTTATGCTCACAATTTTGCTAGAAGGTGTATATGTAGAAAAACCGATAAAATGTATGGTGATATAGCGAATAAGAAGAAGCTTTACTTAAAAGAAGAGTTTGAAGGCAACATATCTAGTGATTTATACTGAATCTCTGACTGAGTAAGTTACAGAACTACATAACAGTTTCTCAAACAGACCTGTAGTGACTCAGCGTATCAAAGACAAACTACTGATGATGGTTACGTCAGTGTGTGCGTACAAATTCTGCTGCTCCTCTGGAAGTAGTTATATGGACTATACTCAGAGGGATTTTTCTTTACTAACCGATAAGCATACACCAGTTTGGCTCGGAAAAGAAATAGCCAGATCACATTTGCTGGATGTTGAACACCATATCTAAACAGAAGAAACATTTACGGTAATACACCTAGTGACATACAATTTGCCTAAATGGTAAGGGATTATATGTCTTATTCATCACTGAAAACTGTAAGAGTCAACAAGATGAAACGTAGCCTATGAGTTCGAAAACGTACACTCACCCCTTGGTGTACCATAAGATCATCATGGACGTAACTCATGTCTAAATGTCTTAATATATCTTCTCTTTCTTTTTCACCTCCTTGAAATCACTTCATTATTATTGTTATTATGATTTGCCACACTTTGATTTTACACTAAAATCATCCTATCTGTTGTTGTATTTGCATTGTTTTTCAAACACGTCACTTAATCATTTTGTCTAACTGTTCATAATTTTCATACGCTTTTCGTTTATTCACGGTCAATTCGGCCATTCCTGACATAACTACAAATTTGGCTACTGTGTGATGGTGTTTATGGATATAAAAGTGTAGAGACTGAGGAAGAAGTAAATGAAAACAACTATTCTCTCAAATCTGTCATTTTCTACTAAGGATAAATTGTGGTTAAAAACAGCAGATATTTGGTTGTCTTTTAATAAATTATGAGATTGAAGGAGGGTTTATTTCTACCTCCTTACACTAAATGACAAAATAAACCTGTTGGAAATGGATATTATGTAACGTTCATGGACTGATTAGTTATATTGCAGTCTCATCGCCTAACTCAAAATTAATTCAGCTTTCAGCACGTAATTCCATATAAGTTTGTTTATCAGATATATCACACAGTAAAACAGTATTATTTGTCTGTGTCAATTTGGCTTATGCGAGTCAGTAGCGTAGTTATTTTGTCTTTGCTTCTGGAACCTAATCCCGAGAAAAATAACACTACCAAAGATATATATATACATATATGTAGATATAGCTATTGTTAGTATATGAAACAGCTTTGTTACCTCTATTGCCTCCCTAATTCCAGACCATTCGATATCCAGAAGGATTATTTTCGTTTTATTTTTATGCTACTTAAGTAGTGTACGGAAAACATAAGAAATATATATTTTACGGAAATCGTCCATCACATTGCATCCTTGTCCCAAATACCGAGGGACGTATTCACTGTATGGTTGCTTTATTCAATTAACAATGCTTATTAAAGCATTGAGGAATTCATGCTATTTTTTGGTTTGAACTCTCATTACACGCCTAATAAAAAAAAATATTTGTCCTACAAATGATTTCATTGAGGTTAAATTTTGTTTAGAAGAATCAAGCCTTAGACATGTGCGAGTATATTTCTAACAGTGAGTTGCATTTACATAAGCAGTTGATACATGTTATAAATTATAAGTGTCAAAAGATCAGTTGTTATCCACTCTCTGATTGTTTTGTAATTCAATTCAACACGTGTTCGCCTATTTTACCTCATACAGAAGGCAGTTTTAGCCTCTGAGACAGGATTACCATCTTAAACCTGACATACGTTGTATTTCTACGTCTCTAACTTCCAAACATTTACGAACTAAAGTTATCTGTAGTGACTTTTGAAAAAACCATATGATTATTATTCCCTTGAGTTCCGAGTGGAACATAGGACTTCAACAACACATCTCCACTTTGTCCAATCTTCTGCCGTCCTCTTCATCTGGGTCCAAGATTGCCCAAACTCTCTCACCTCTTCCTCACGCGATCTCCTCCATGTCACCCACCCTCTCACAGATGACCCACTCGGATTCCACTCGAGTGATGGCCTGCATTGCACGCGATTTCATTCGACAGCCTCCTCAATGTATGCCCGATCAATCCATCTCCATTTTCTCCTACATATTTGTTGAGCGGTCGGCTCTTGGTTGGTTTGTTTCCACAGTTTCTTGTTATTAATTCTTTCTGGCCATTTGATCTTCAGTATGGAGCGAAGGCAGCTGTTGATGAAAGCCGGAAACCTGCTGGAAATCCTTTTCGTGACACCCACTGCAAGTTTCCGTCCCGTATAGAAGGAGGGACTTCACATTGGTGTTTAAAATCCGAATCTTGTTCCTTATGTTGACTGTAGAAGATTTCCAAACTGGTTTCAGGTTGATGAAGGAGTATCTCGCCTTTCCGATCCTGCCTGTAGTTAAAACGATGCTTCCTAACCGGTTAAGTGAAGGAGGTGACCTCTGTTAAATCTCTCCCGCTCATGGTGATTGGTGCTGGTTGTTGTTGTTGTTGATGTTGATGTTGGTTACCTTCATCTCCTCAGTTTTCTCTATGTTCACCTGGAGTTCTGTCTTCACTGCCTCTGCAGCCAGTTTGCTGGTTTTCACCTGTAAGGCTTCGAGTTTTCGTGACATCAGACATATATCATCTACGAAATCTAGACCTTCTAGTCTTCTTATCGGTGGTCCAGCGTATTCCTGTCTACTTGCTCCCAAGCACAGTCTGACGTATAATCCAGTGCACCACAATCAAGAATATCATCGGTGACAATAGACAGGCAGCTTGTCTTACTCCTGTATGTACTTCGAATGCCTCGATGAGTTTTCCGTTGTGGATCACATGACATTAGGCATTGAATCTAACTAGTTCTGGTTGGCGGAGTTCTATATCCTTTATTCTCTCCAGGATGATGCGACTCAGTATTTTACTCGGCGTCGACAAGAGCATGATTCCACGCCAGTTCTCGCAGAGTAAGGCGTGAGTCGCCTTTCTTTGGCAGCTTGACGAGCTAGCCATTCTTCCGGTCGGTAGGTACCTTTCCTTCTTTCCGAAATGTTTGCAATAATGGCGTGAGCACATCAGCGACAGCCTCTAAGTCCGTTTACTGTGCTTCAGGGGGAATTCTGTCTGGTTCTGCTGCCTTCCCGGACTGTACTTCAGTAGCTTGATCGCATTCAGGATGTCTGCTTCCATTGGAGGATTGGTGTCTACTGGCATGCAGTTCTGTGCGTGTTGTTGATGGTGGTGATATTTCTGGCCGAGTTGCAGGTGATGGTCGATTCAGGAGTGCTTTGAAGTGATCAGTCCATTGTTTTATTTGTTTCTCCTCCTTGTTGATCAGGTTCCTTTTGAGCATCTTTTATTGGTTTCGTCATCTGGTTATTCGATATAATGTTCCGAGGTCTGTTTTACCCGCGACCTGCCTGTTCTGTTTCAGCTGCCAGTGTGTCGTAGAATGGTCTTTTGTCTTTCCTAGCATTCTTCTTCACCTCTTTATTCACTGCAGTGTACATCGAACTCAGCTTCTCCTTCTGTTGCCCATCTTCTCTTTCACCATCCTCCTCTCCTCTCTTCTATTAGCTTCTAGGTGATGTCCGTTCACAGTCATTCCTCGTCTTGTCTCTTCTTTCTTCCTAGAACAGTTGTACACGGTTCCTTGAATATTGCCTTCAGAGAGTTCCAATATTCTTCCAAGCAGGTTTCCTCGGTGATAACACGTGGTGTCTCCGACTTTGCTCTAATTTGATCTGTAGCGAAGGCATCCCCCGTGGTTTTGTCCTTCAGTTTCTGAATGTTAAACTTCAATTGTGGCCTGTC